TAATTTTTTTAAAAAAATTAGATTGTGCAGAAATGGACAGATTGACATTAAAGATAAAAGAAAGGGGAGGTACAGAGTACTTTCAAACACGGGGTTTGTTTTATAAATGGTTGGATGACAGAGGTAGAGATTAGGAGTTAGAAAAGTATTGCTGCGTTAGCATATTAACCCAAACAATGCGCTGTTCACCAAGCACTTTTGTATGTAAATTGAAAATGTATAAATAAGCTAATTTTTAAAAAGTTCAAATAGGATGAAGCGTACCTGTTGCTTTTCCAGGAACACATAAGCCATCATTCAGTTGGAGGGGGTTAATCAGTGGTGGGATTCAACCAGTCCGTACCTATTCAGGAGAACCGGTTGTTAACTTTCTAAGCAGTTTTGGAGAACCAGTTGTTGGAAGAAATCTCATATTTTTTCCCCACTTTACAGGGCTAATTCTGTAAGGAAGGTAGGAAGGAAACATTCTGGTGTTGTTTCTAGCCTCATCTTTATTGCCCTGCTTACAGAAACTGTCTCTCCGGTTAACCCTCATTACATTGTAACAGCTAAGGCGAAGCGCCCATCGACCTGAGTGTCGTTGAGTTGGCCACGCCCACACAGTCACATGACCACCAAGCCACACCTACACAGCTGGTCATTAGAGCAGAAAACCCGTTGTTAAATTATTCGAATCCCACCGTTGGGGTTGATCTAAACATTTTGCTTGTCCTTAACGTATAGTAAAACTCTTACCTTTGCAGGAAATGTCTATTTCGATATTCATTTAAAAATGAGCTTATTCTTCAAAGTGAACTTTCTGATAAGTTTGTGTTTCCCGCAGGTGTTGCTTTGCTTCTCCCGAGACACTTCAGTGTTGGAACACTTCGAGTACAATAGTGCTACCCCACCCAGATCATTCATTCGAGGTAAAGACAGGTTTATTTGATATGCCCGAGCCGTACAGAGACTCTGAAGAGACAGAATATTTTATCATTGTTACTTGATGGTCTTAAGCGAACAAGGATTGGGAAATGATTCAAACCTTGACTTCTCTGATTCATGATGCCCAATGCATTTAATTACGCCTTTCTTTGCATCTCATGAATATCTTGGGCAGGGTGGAGTATGTAAGTCCTATAGAGGGAAAATGTTTTTGCCTTTTTTTGGCCTTCTATGTCAGGGGTGTCAAACTTGATTTCATTGAGGGCTTTGTTTGACCTCGGCGGGGGTGGGGGGCGGTGTGTGTGTGCCTGGCCAGGGTGGGCGGGGCCAGCATGACATCACTCATGTCGGGGGGGTGCCTCCCGAGCTCTGGAGCTTTTGGAGATGGCCTCCTGCAACCCTCTGTCAGTAAAAACAGAGGCCCTTGCGAGCTCCGTTTTCGCTGGCAGAGGCAACGTGGGCTGGTCCTTCGTTGTTCCCAGGACGTGCCTGCAAGCCAGATCTAGGCTGGATCCGGCCTGCTAGCCTTGAGTTTGACACCCCTATTCTATGTACCATATTTTTCGGACTATAAAACGCACTGGAGTATAAGACGCACCATGATTTTGAAGAGGTAAATTAAAAAAAAAAAGTTTTTGCACTCTGCAGGGCTCCCAAACCCTCTGCACGCCTCGTTTTTTGCAAAAAATAAATAAATAAAAAGGCCATGCAGAACTTTGAGAAACTTGTAGAGTGCTCCTGGGGGCCGGGGGGGGGGAACTAGCAAAAAACAGGCAATTTTTCACAAAAATGGACTGTTTTTTTGCAAAAAAAGGCATGCAGAGGCTTTGGGAGGCTTGTAGAATGCTCCTGGGAACTTGGGGGGTGGGGCAAAAATGACCATTTTTGCTCATTTTTGCCCTCCCCAGCCCCCAGGAGCACTTTGCAAGCCTCCCAAACCCTCTGCATGTCCATTTTTGCAAAGGTGTCAGGGCTGAGCCCCCTTCGGGGAAAAGGGCAGCATATATAAATGTAATAAATCCAATCCTTCGGTAGGCCAAAAATGCTGTATTCAATGTATAAGACGCATCCAGATTTTCACCCTCTTTTTTGGGAGAAAAAGGTGCATCTTATACTCTGAAAAATATGGTAATTCAGCTGCTGAAACAACAGTCAAAGAAAAAGATTGACGGGTACGTTGAGTATGCCTTGTGTTTGCTTGTATTCCATTTTTTTTTTAATGAAAACTGATGAAAATCATTGCCTTACTAAATTATTTCTGTTGAGGAAAAGATGCCTGCAGGCAGTTCTCGACTTACGAGCACAACCAACCCCCCAAAAGAGCCTTTTTACCTATCTGTAATATTTAGTACCGTTTCTCTCATTTTAAAATTTAAGAGAATGTGCAGATTCACATTTCTTTCAAAACAGAGTAGAAAAAATAAGACCAAAAAATGTGTTTCTGATGAACTTTGCAATAGATGTGGTCCTCTAAAATTTACCCGTATGCAGGATAATAAATTTAATACATCCCAATATTCTTCTGGAAAAATCATTGCTTGAAATAAACTTTTAACCTGTGATAATGGTTGCTATTAAAGTATATCACATGTTGCATAATAGCTGGAAGAAAGTTAATCCAGTACTGGTTCTCATTCTAGATCGGGGTCGGCAACCTTAAACACTCAAAGAGCCATTTGGACCCGTTTCCCACAGAAAGGAAAATACCAGGAGCCATAAAACTCTTTTGACATCTAAAAATTAAGATAACACTGCATATATCGGCCTGCCAAGGGTCGAAAAGCTCAATAAACTGCATGCAAGCGGATGTCACACATTGGCGGTTGTTATGCATATTTTGAGCAACAGGGAGCTGCAGCAGAGGGATGAAAGAGCCACATGCGGCTCTGGAGCCGCAGGTTGCCAACCCCTGTTCTAGATCATTACTTTAAGGATAGTTTTACAGGTAGTTCTCCATTTACAACAGCTCGTTTAGTGGCTGTCCAATGTCACAACAACATTTTAAAAAACGACGATCATTTTTCACACTTATGACCGTTTAAGCATCCCCATGGTCTCACGATTTACATTTGGATTGCTTGACTCACATTTATGATGGTTGCAGTATCCTGGGGGGGGGGGGCATGCATGTAATCTCCTTTTGCGACCTCCTGGACAAGCAAAGTCAACCGGGAAACCGGATTCACTTAGCTAATTTAACAACTGCAGTGATGTACT